TACTGGTAAAGGATTTTACCTTTTCTGAAACAATATGTTTTATTGTAGCATTGAATCAGTAGAGATTGTGGGGATGGGTTATGTTAAACCACAACCCAATAAAGAACTTGGAAGTAATTAGGGTGTTTAATTTTATTTTTATATTGTTTATTTTCTTGCCACTTCCTTCAGAACTCTGGGATGGATCCCATTTTGCCCTGGAGTTGTTCCCACACTGGCAGTGGGTTTGCCTAGCACACTGTATCACACAGAACAGACAAGGCTCCTAGGATTTGTGTTTCTCTTGCTTTGCTAGATTTTCAGGAATGTTAATGAGGGTGAGAGAACCATAGATTTTATATGGCTATAAGTTCTTTTAGATTAAATACAATATTTTTTTTAGCGTTTGTCTTCAAACTTTTATGTTACTATTCTTTTATGTTTATTCTTATCAAATATCTTTTTGTAATTTTTTTCTGGTCCTGTTTTATACCTTAATCTTTTTCTGTCTCCGCCCTTTTTTTACTTTCTCCCTAATTCAGCTGTATCCAGTGCTTGACTTCACCATAACATCTTTTGTCACAGTATATGTAAACTGGTAATGAAATACTCAACCTCAGTTCCTCCTTTAACATTTCATTCTTAGATCTCAAAAATGTAAGTGACAAATGAATCTTTATTTTCAGTTTTTTTCCTACTACGTACTTTTCCTTTTTCTGTAGTGAATTTTATCAAGCTAACATTTATACCTATTCCATAGTTTTATATTCCCTCTACCAATCCATCCCATCCCACCTTGGCTTATTTCTTAGTTTATATTGATCCAAGTAAGGATTCTTGTTTCTGCTTAAAAAGCGTATTTCTATTTAGCCTCATCCAGAAAAGAAATAAAACATTGACTACACTCAGTTGCCTGAGCTAGCTAAAAATAAATATTCCTTTGCATGCAAGGATCCTAACTAAAGTTTAAAGGAAGTCTTTGATATGAACACTGGAGTAAAGTGAAATATGTATCATTGAAAACTTACCTTCTTCACTTAATAGAAGCCTTTTAAAGTTTGGGTTTCTTACATACATATGAGAGAATATACATCTTGTTAAAGAGTTTAGTCAGAATTATCTTTAAAAATTCCATAACTCAGCTGGGTGCGGTGACTCATGCCTGTAATCCCAGCACTTTTGGAGGCTGAGGCGGGCAGATCACCTGAGGTCAGGAGTTTGAAACCAGCCTGACCAACATGCCGAAATCCTGTCTCTACTAAATATACAAAAATTACCCAGGCATGGTGGCAGGCTCCTGTAATCTCAGCTACTTGAGAGGCTGAGGCAGGAGAATCGCTTGAACCCAGAAGATGGAGGTTGCAGTGAGCCAAGATCATGCCACTGCACTCCAGCCAGGGCAACAAAAGCGAGACTCTGTCTCAAAAAAAGAAAAAAAAAATTCCATAACTCAACTTTATTTTACTGACTTTAATTGCTTAAAATTTTTAAGAAAAAAATAAGGTTTTGAATGACAATTTTTATTTCTTTTCTATCTTTCCAATTTTTTATAAAAGGAATAAAATAATTTCACTTTTAGTATCAACTGTAACAAAAGCAGGTGTTAAGGAAAACGTACATTTCTTTGAGAGGTTGATATCTAACATATCCTAGAATGCGAAACAAAAACATTTTTCATTATTTTTGCATCAAGAATAAAGCCTGGTTTGGACTAATGAAATATAAACCACTTTTTTCTCCTTCTTAAATATCACTGCATATTCAACTGTCCCCTGAACATATATTTTTGATATAATACCCATCTATGAGAAGCTTAAATTGACTACACTAAATCAAAATTCTCCCAATTCACATAAGAAATTTAAGGAAACATTTTACATCTTCCAACTGTTTCAGATGTGTTTATCTTAATGGATTTAGTTGAATGACTTACCCAGCGACATACTGGAAGTGTATATGAAAAGTATGATGTGTAAAACTCTTATTTCAGCATTCATTCCACAAGTTCAGCATTTCCAAACTAGTACTTGGAACAGTTTATGATGTTAAGTATTTTAAGTTTTAGTACCTCAAAATAAATTCATTTTTTGAATGATTTAATGCTTAAAATCTCCTAAAATATAATGTTCAAAATTCCCTTGCTTTCTTATTTGAAGTTATAACTTCGTCTTCCTGCAGTACAGAGCCCACTTGGATTATATTTGAGAATCGAAAGAAAAATACAAGTTATCCTTACTCTCTGAGATGCTCAGCAAACTGATTAATCTTTATTAAGATCATGCACTGAAAACGTCTGAGTTTCTGGGAAAGTGTTGAAGTTGCCATTGACTATACTAATCCTAAATCCTTTGAAAAATTAATGATTGTTTTCAGAAAGTTGTATCAGACTGCTATAATGGAAAATAGCATTAACATGTTATGCCCCATTCTAAATAAACCCAACTTCAAAATGTCTGTCAGAAAACTGTTTAGCTTTTTTTTTTTTTCCAAGTAGCATTTTAAGAGGTCCCTTTCTGAAAATTTTTCTTGGGTACTGGGAACTCAGAATTTTCATTTGAAATATATTAACAGGTTTATTTGGCGTGAATGATAAAAGGTGCAGTGTATTGCCTAGTACAACCACTAATACTTTTTTTCAATAACAATAAAAACAAAAATAATAGTAAGCAGAGCTGTGTTTCTAACCCCAAAGAAGCTGGAGACCTTAGTTTAGATACTTCATAGGAATTCCTTAAGGAGTCCTCCTTCACCTCCTGCCAATACACCCAAGGAATCTTTTCTTGATAAATTCACCCACATTAGTTATCAAATCTAAACATCACAGAATTTAGCATCAATTATTTACCAAGTGAGACAAAGGTTTGCCATTTTTTTCTTATCTTTTCCTTCAGTCCTCTTCATCCCCATTAGTTTTTAATACTTCTTTAATCTCAGAAGCAATCAGTCCTAGTTTATGTCAAAGTCAGGACTTTGGAATTTAGAACACTATCTTTACCACTTTCTGTAACTATCTCCAGTTTTAGCCTAAAACTACAGAGCATTACTCTTTTTTTTTTTTTTTTTTTTTTTTTTTGAGACAGAGTCTTGCTATGTCGCCCAGACTGGAGTGCAGTGGTACAATCTTGGCTCACTATAAGGAGGTCATTCTATTTAATCACTTATTTTATGGTTTGTTTGACCATATTAAATTGTCAAATACAAGTATTCTTTCTTCTTCTTCTTCTTTTCTGAGACAGTCTCACGCTGTTGCCCAGGCTGGAGTGCAGTGACGCCATCTCAGCTCACTGCAAGCTCCGCCTCCCAGGTTCATGCCATTCTCCTGCCTCAGCCTCCTGAGTAGCTGGGGCTACAGGCACCTGCCACCACGCCTGGCTAATTTTGTGTATTTTTAGTAGAGACGGGGTTCCACCGTGTTAGCCAGGATAGTCTCAATCTCCTGACCTCATGATCCACCCACCTCAGTCTCCCAAAGTGCTGGGATTACAGGCATGAGCCACTGTGCCAGACCAAGTATTCTCCTAATATACCTCTTCTCTGATTTTGTTGATATAGACTTAATGATAAAATCTTTGAAAAGTTTGTTTCATATTTGTGGTGTTCTGACTGGCTGGCTAGCTGTAAAATGTTGCCTTTCTTCCTAGTCCTCACTAAAATCCATTGAGTGTTCTTACTGCACAAAACACCATAGAAAAACTTTGTCTACCACTTTAAAAAAAAACTGTGAATGTGAAAATATCTTCTGATGTGACTGCATTATAAAGCTCAGTACAGCAGTTTTAATCCAGAAGAATATATGACCTGAATGTTTGTCAAACACATGATATGCAGCAACAAAATAATCTTTATTTTATTTTGGCCTGACAGTATAATGTATAAAATCACAAATTGTTTGTATTGGCAAGATTTTATTTTACTAATTTTGAGATACTATAAAAATAATACTCTATATATATTTAAAGTATTTATTTAGAAAAAACTGGGAAATAAATTGAAGAAGATACTAATTTTAAGAAAAACAAACTGAAATCAAGTCTTTGTCTTAGAGAACAAGTAAGACTGAAGAAATTGAAAGAAATATTTTGAAAAGCAAGAGTGAGGTACTTAAGTGATAAGACACAATGAAGTAAAGTCTTCCATTTATAATAGCTACAATGACCTTAATTAAATAAAATCTAAATGTCACTAAAGATAGATATCCACTGGTTTGGATTTGAAATTTAACTATACAATTTTGGATGAATTATAACTTATGATTCGGTATTAGGATTCTTCAGATCTCTGGACTTGTCAGTTTATAAGCTTTAGAAAGTACACAACACTTTCTAGGTATGGTGTAAAATTTTTTAAATATTTAAGACATAGAATACATTATTACAACATGTTCTTTAATGTTGATTTTTAAATGTCAGAATAGATGTAATACCAGTGTAAGCCACAGGGTGGGAGTGAAAGGCAAGAACTTGTGTTGAAGCAGCTTAAATACATAATTGCACCATTTTATAAACCTTTTAAATGCTTGTTGAATTATAAGGAGCTGTAGCTTGGTTTTCTTTCTGCCTTTAATACAGCTGCATTCTTCAGCAAAGAATCTATAACACAAGACAAACACATTAATTTAAATATATAGGCCATTTTTACTGAATATCAAAAGAAGTAAACACATACATTTTATTTCCCCCTAAGTTTCTGGGCATATGAAGTGCTTGGTGAACAGAGCAGCAATTTTGATCAATAGTTGAATTTGAGAAATTTCTTAAATTACCAGTACCGGAAATAGTAATTGAAGTTGCCAGAAATATTTCATCTCTTCAGACTTTCCTTCTTCATTTTCCTTTTTCATTGATTTTTCTCATTTAAAGAAAAAAATCAATTGTATATTACATATAGGTCTATAAGCTGTCTCAAGTTATTTTTCAATAGGGAAGGTAAATAAGTTTTCCTTTGTGTTTTCTTTTTACTTGATCTCATTTGAATTTGGAAGCAATTTAAAGTAGTAATAGTAATCATTTTGTATCTTTAAGGTAAGAAGACAAGAGGTTTCTTCTCCTAGAAAAGAAACTTCAGCAAGGAGTCTTGGCAGTCCTTTGCTCCATGAAAGGTAGTTCTACATCCTTTTTTTTGCCAACTCTTAAAAATTTTCAATACTGAAATATATTTTATATATATATTTTTAAGCTTTAACAATTGCAAAAAAATAGCCTTTTAGAATAAGTGGAAGTAACCATCCCCAGAGTCCTACATGTTAAAAATGACCTAAACAAGTCATGCAGTTAATAGCAGAGCTGGATCTAAAACTTGAATTCTCTAAAGCTCTACTATTTCAATAAACCAAGTGTTAAGGCCATATTTCTTTATATGGATGGATCCTAATGTGAACTTTACCAAAATGAGGAATATTTAATATTCTATTTAAGATGTTTGCAGAGAACAAAAGTCAATGCATTGAAATTTCTAATGTGAGAATAAGACAGCCAGCATTAGTGTATATATGAATAAGTAGATATGCTAGACTATACTATATTTATGTATTAAAACTTTTAATTTATCACTTACTTTGTGCCTGGCCCTCTACAAACACAAGCTGGTTTTTGGGATATTGTCTAGGAATTAAAAATTTTTTTTTAACTTTTAAATATTTTGTGGCACATAAAATGGTACTACATAAGTTTGATTATTTTAAAAACTTGGAAATTATAGCTTTACATTTTAAAATGTTGATTTTTATTTTTTAGGGGTAGTATAGAGAAGACTTTCTGGGATCTGAAAGAAGAATTTCATAGAATATGCATGCTAGCAAAAGCACAGAAAGACCACTTAAGCAAACTTAATATACCAGACACTGCAACTGGTAAGATTTAATTTAATTTACAGTAATATTGATTTGATTGATTGAAATTGATTTCTTTTTGAATGTGAAAATATTCCTGAATGCCTATTAATTGTGTAGCATCTGTAATTTACCCCTCATCCACGTATATTTGAATGTGTACATGCTGTGTAAGTTCTGTAGTGCATTACATATGTATTTGTTGGTTTTTTTTTCTTTGTTGTATATGGTACTATATAGATTGAATTGAAAGACATAATTACTAATTATCTTAATGAGAAATCCCACCTTAAAAAATACAAAATAAATATTGACTATATCCCTGAAAGTTTTCAGTTGTTGTTTGGGGGACTTATTAAACATTAACTCTTATGTGAATAAGCGACCTTGAAGCCATACTACCATATTATATGAGCTAAGTAAAATTATAACATCAGGTTTGTTTGTAAGTTCTGCCTGAAAGTTCATTACATACACTATGGATAGATTTTTTTTTCTGTTTTTTTCTTCTTTTTTTTAATTAAACACAGGATCTTGCTATGTTGTCCAGACTGGAGTACAGTGGCTATTCATAGGCGTGATGGTGCACTACAGCCTTGAACTCCTGGGCTCAAGAATTCTTTGAACTCATTTGGTTCAAGAATAAAAATGTGACACTCAAATTTCCTGAGTGCTAGTCCTGTTTAATGCACAAAATATACATTTAGTATAAAATACAACTTAGAAGGAACGTTTGTTTTACACATGTGTTATAGTATGTTTTATAAATGCTCCACCCTTTCCTAAAACCCCAGACTGGCTTCCTGGTATTTGCTTCAGTAGTTCTATATGAATAGCAAAATACAAGGGATTAGGTCTGGCAACCAAACACTTCTGCAAACAAAAGGAAGGTAAACTGATCATTTATAATGATAAATTCTCCTTTACCCTTGTGATTTGAGCTATTCTGCAGACAATTCCCAAGGGATGTGATTTACAGTTTTCACTCTGAGAGATGTAGTCTTGCTGACTAACACCCCTTTAATTAAAGATCACTTTCCATTTCTTGCAGCTCTTACATCTAGGCTATTTAAAATAATTTTATAGTGTAAATTCACTTTTTGCTACTACTACCATTTTATATTCAGAAAAGTTACACAATGTGGTATTACAGAAGCAAAACAATCTTTGTAGATACATATAATTTGGTTCTTTCTCTCCCTTCTCCCACCTCCCCAAAAACAACTCTTTTCTTCACCTGAATTTTTGTCATTTTCATGAGAAATTGATCTTTTGTATGGACTAAAGTCACTAGGTACCTCTGAAGTAAATGAATTATTTCTGTTTAAAATATGCTAGCTATGGAGATGTAGTACCTAGAATTCATAAACATGCTTTTTTGAACATCAACATCTTTTCAAGGCATTGTAATGGTGATATATTCTTTGTTACACAGAAAACTTACCTCATTATCAGTGGCTTAATACTTTGACCATTTTTAAATTGCACAGGTCTAAATCTGAGTATGTATCTGTCAACTAGAACACTGAGTGTTTAACTTCAATTTCTTCTCCACTAAAACTGCTTCCTGATGCTTTATTTTTATGCTTTATATTAACAGTGTCACAAATAATAAATATATTATTCTCAAAATATTTTGTGCTACAGACTCTAGTGAAGTTTTGCTGGGGTCCAAAGAGAAACCAAAATAAATATTATGCTCTGACAGTAGTATATCAAAAGGAGAAAGGAAAAAATATTTTTTGAAAAGATGCCTATTCATGGTTTCCAAGTATGTATGCTATACTGTATAAAAATATAGAAGAACTATTTCAAATATGATTTGCATAATATATCTGGGAAAAGGTATGTGTATTGTCCCTGTGTTATTTTGTATTAAAGTTTGATGTTTGCTTTTAAATAACCAGATGATTCATTTGAAAATACTGAGTTAGTAGAATTTTTACATTTCCTTTTTATTATTACTTTGTTTTTTCTACTCATCTACATATGGCAATAGACTTGAGAAATGATAAACAAAATGTATGTTTATCCATAGCTTCAAATAAAGTACTGTTTGGTTCATAAAGGAGTGTCCAATTTCAGTAGAGATTAGGAAAGAAGAATATAGGATTAAGGGTAACAAACATCCATGAGCAGGGTGACAAAAAATCATGAGGTCTTTTTCTTTTGTCAATATACAAAATAATTATACTGAGAAGTAACTAAATGGATAGCCTATATTTAAAATTTGGAAATCTAAAAATGTTTCCCATTTTACTTTTTCCTTGCAAAACTAAGTATTCTTAAAATAGACAAAATAGAAAAGCTATTTGCTCACCTGATCATGTTTCTCAATATGGTGTCAGGATGACAAGTGCTTTCATGCATCTCATTTGAGTTTTAAGTTGTCTCAGCTTAGATTTCTAGTAGCATTAGAAATCTAAGGTTTAAATTTTTTTAATAGATATAACTCTCACTGCTTGAGCAGATTAACTCAGATTATTTTAATGTGGCTGAGTTTTATGCCAGCTAGCTTTGCTGAAAGAAAATATCTGTTTTTTTAGAGCTGTTTGATTTCTCCACGTTTTGTTCACAGCCGGGATAGATCAACTGCTGGAAAAATAATTCAAAGCACATTTCTGTCAATTTGGGGACTTCTCTCTATATCTAGAAACCAACATGTTCAATTTAGCATAATGGTTCAGAGCACAAATCTAGAGTTAGATCGCCTGGGTTCCAGTGGCAGATCTGCCACTTACTATTATAGTTGTGTGGCCTTTGAATTAACCTCTCCAACCAGTTGCTTCACATGTAAAGTGGGGATAATAATAGTGCCTACCTCAGGATTACTTTATTATATGAATTAATGTACATACAATTATTATAATAGTGCTTGCCATGTGGAAGTGCTATTAATGTTAATAGTCATTGCCATTAGCAGCAGTAGCAGATTCTTCAGCATTCACCTTGTTCTCCTTGTGAAGATCATTTGATAAGTCTCTCCTCTTCGGGTGTTACAGAATCTGATTACCTCAACAGTTGATTTTCCTGATTTGTTATTTGCAAGTAGCAAATGTCATCTACAAAGACAGTACTGTTTCCTTGACTTTCCTGCCACTTTCAAGTCTACTGCCAGGAAGAATGACTACTCGAGAGTTAATGGACTTTAAGAACCTCAGAGGCTAAAGAAATCCAGCTAAACAATTAAGCTTGGTCACAATTACTATAGCACTTCTAGTCACAGAATATCTGGTAAATGTTGATTATTATAGTAGGCTCTGTAAGGGAGAGATTACAGATTCATTCAGAATTCGTTTGTTAGGGGCATACTACGTGCCAGACACTGGGCAGGGGTCTGGAGTTAGAGGGAAACAAAACATAGTTTAAGACCTCAAAAAACCTACTTTAATGGGAGAAAGAGAGTTATACTTGGAAATACAGTCATGTGCCAAATGACATTTTCAGTCAACAACAGATTGCATATACAATCATGGCCCCATATGATTATAATGGGGCTTAAAAGTTCATATCAGCCCAGGCACAGTGGCTCACGCCTATAATCCCAGCACTTTGGGAGGCTGAGCTGGGCAGATCACCTGAGGCTGGGAGTTCGAGACCAGCCTGACCAGCATGGAGAAACCCCGTCTCTACTGAAAATATAAAATTAGCCGGGCATGGTGACTCATGTCCGTAATCCCAGCTACTCTGGAGGCTGAGGCAAGAGAATCACTTGAACCTGGGAGGTGGAGGTTGCAGTGAGCCGAGATCGCACCATTGCACTCCATCCAGCCTGGGCAACAAGAGCAAACCTCCGTCTCAAAAAAAAAAAAAAAAGTTCATATCACCCTAGTGACATTGTAGGTAGCTGTTGTTACATTGTATCACACTTTTTTGTGTGTGTAAATTTAGCGTAACCAAAGTGTATAGTGTTCATAAAGTCTACAGTGATGTACAGTAATACTAGGCCTAGGCCTTCACATTCACTCACCATTCACTCACTGACTCAGAGCAACCTCTAGTCCTGCAAATTCCATTCATGGTAAGTGCTCTATATAGGCGTACCCATTTTTTATCTTTTATGCCGTATTTTTACTGTACCTTTTCAGTGTTGAAATAGATACCATTGTGTTACCTACAGTATTCAGTACAGTAACATGTTGTATAGGTTTGTAGCCTAAGAACAATAGGCTATACTGTATAGTGTAGGTGTGTAGTAGACTATACTGTCTAGGTTTCTGTAAGTACACTCTGTGATGTTTGCACAATGACAAAATTGCCTAAGAATACATTTCTCAAAACGTGCCATCGTTAAGCAACGCATAACTATATAACAGAGTGTTTCAGTCCTCAGGGCATCCAAGAGTCATGGGAGAGTCATCCAGAGAAACTTATGTCCAAGCCAAGATGTGAAGGACAAATAAGAGTTGGGCAAAGAGTGATGGGAGGGGACACTTCAGGCAGTCTGCACAGCATGTGCAAAGGTGCAAAGACAAGAGAGTGTGGCTGTTTTGGGGAACTATACGAAGTTCATTATAGCCAGAGTATGGAGTGAAAGATGAGCATGGAGAGGTGACCAGGGGCCAGTAATGAACAGTCGATAAGCCTTTTTTGAGATCTGAGGGCCTTGTAGAGCCATCAAAAGATTTTATTAGGAAGGTAACGTGGTCAGATTAGTATTTTAGAAAAACTACTCTGAGAACGAGGGATGGAGGGGAAGTTGCAATGAAGACAACAGATTGGATATGAGACAAATTTAGAGGCAAGGAAGCAGTTTAAAGGCTGTTATAATAATCCAGTAAGAAAGGATGGTATGAAGAGAGGTATAAAGAGAGGCAGTAGGTGTACAACAAGATGAACCAGAGAAGTTGGTTGCATTATACTACACATATCCAAACAGAAAAAAATATATTACATTGGAATGTGCTTTGGCAAAAGACAGAGAGGTGTCATGAGACTGCCAAGACCAAAGGAATATAAAGGAAGTGACGTTTGTTAAGTGCCTACTAACCTGTACAGACACTTTGTATACCTTGTGTTCTGTATACCCTGTCTACCTAAATTTGCATCATTGGTAATGTCTCCATTTGTGAATGTTCAACAGTGCCGATGACAATCCTTAAAATATATGCATTACCAACTTCAGTGCCTTCTTTAAGGGACGTTGTGGAGTTTAATTTGGCTTTTTCTAGTGTCTCAGAATCATCAAGATGGAGAGTACTTTGATTATTGTTTTTTTGTATTGAGCACTCATTAGCTCTGTATTAGACTGTAGTGTTTTCTAAAAGTTCTTGTATCAGCTTTTTTGTCTTTCCTATGCTTTTAGTTCCTGTTGATATCTATGTCTGCCTTTAGCAACTCATATTCCCTTTTAATTTTTTGTTTCAAACCAGCTATGAGCTAGGGAAATACCATCAGGTTTGTTAGAATAAATCTAAAATGACAATAAGAACAAAATTCACGTATCTATGAACCTTGTGGCTCTAATTCTGGCTCCTCAGAAGCTCTACTTTCCTTCTAGCTTTTGACTGTGTCCTAGAAAGCTGAATTTGTTGGATAAGTGGCTCTAGATAAATGAGCTACAGAGGCTATTTCATCTACCAGATATTTACCTGTTATTTACAGAGGTCTTTTAAAAAAAAAGATATAAGATGAGAAAATAATCTATTCATCCGCAGTTTTCTTAACATGCATCACAATGTTTCATCCTTCCTTTGCCTTCACTGTCTTCCTTTTCCCAACTCCTGCAACCACCAGTCTTCACATGGATTATTGACAGCAGACAGTGGCTAAACTGATTAGTGATATACTTAGTTAGACAGTGACAATAATAAATGACCTAATTTTAGATATACCTAGTAAGATTTTCCCTTTTAACAACTTATTTGTCTAAGCAAACACAGTTATAGCTTCCGTTACTGACAAAAATGTTTAAATGTATACACTACAAGCAAATGTTTTTAAGCTTGGAGCAGTGTAACTGAACAAGATGCAAAGCTTACAGCAAAAGACCTAGGAAAAGACAAAGTAGTTAAATTGCAACTAGTAAGCTGTGTTTCAGTTCACCCGCTGGAGACTGCTAATATTCTGTGTAAGATGGTAGCAAATTTTAAAATCCCAGTTGTCTTCATTTGCTATAAAAACCAATAGAAAAAATAATAATAATCTGTCCAAAGCTGATTGAACAGATTTTTTTTTTAATGATTTGAATGTGACTGTTTCTCTTTTGTGTTCTTCTCCCTGCAGAGACACAGTGCTCTGTGCCTATACAGTGTACGGATAAAACAGATAAACAAGAGGCGCTGTTTAAGCCTCAGGCTAAAGATGATATAAATAGAGGTGCACCATCCATCACATGTGTCACACCAAGAGGACTGTGCAGAGATGAGGAAGACACCTCTTTTGAATCACTTTCTAAATTCAATGTCAAGTTTCCACCTATGGACAATGACTCGACTTTCTTACATAGCACTCCAGAGAGACCCGGCATCCTTAGTCCTGCCACGTCTGAGGCAATGTGCCAAGAGAAATTTAATACGGAGTTCAGAGACAACCCAGGGAACTTTGTTAAAACAGAAGAAACTTTATTTGAAATTCAGGGAATTGACCCCATAGCTTCAGCTATACAAAACCTTAAAACAACTGACAAAACAAAGCCCTCAAATCTTGTAAACACTTGTATCAGGACAACTCTGGATAGAGCTGCGTGTTTGCCACCTGGAGACCATAATGCATTATATGTAAATACCTTCCCACTTCTGGACCCATCTGATGCACCTTTTCCCTCACTTGATTCCCCAGGAAAAGCTATCCGAGGACCACAGCAGGTAACTGTTTTGCGTTAACAAATATATTATTATGTGTGAACACACATTTTGCCATACATGGACAGATATGCATCTCTTTTACGTTATCTGACATCCTTTTTAAACTACTGTCTAGCCAAAGTTAGGGGTTTCAGAAAAACAAGTCCTATAATAAATGACATGAAATTAGAAAAGCTGAATATGGTAAAACTATTGTAAAGTATCTTAGAATTTATGTCATTTAAAAATTCATGTTAAGCCTTATCCGTATCTATTGTGGTGTCACTTTCTTAGTTCCTTATTCAAAGCTTGTTTACTCAGGATTAATAAGATTATTAAATTTCATAGTGTGAAACAAATGCTGTTTTATTTAATAGTTTCTGTATATCATATTCATCTTTATAAGAATTCACGATCTTATGTAAATAATTGCATCTTACATTCCTATTTATCAACATAAGTGAACTATCTTTCAATGAATACTTCTACTATATCCTCAGTTATATAGTACGTAGATCTGTAGGGTTTAGTTTTGGTTTTGGTTGCTAATCTGGAAATGAACATGTAGCCTAGTATATTTTTAAAATAGTCTCTGCATGTGTATGATATCAGATATTTTATTCAATGTTTCTAAATCTCACAGACTTATGTCCCCCAAACCACTCCTGCCCTCCCTTTTAGATTCAAGTTCCATCACAGAATGATTCTTTTAGTTAAAAAAAAAGTTTAATGTCTGAAAGCAAATGAAAACTATAAAATTTTTACAAAAAACAGAAGCTTATGAAAATAGATTGATGTAAATGTCTATGTAACTTGCAAACATTTGTCTGATTTCTCTTTGCCTTGAGATTTTTTTTTTTTTAAAGTTGTTAATACCCTTTTGCTTTAAGTACACTTATAGGTTATAGACTTAAATCAGCATGCAAAGAAGGCAGTTGTCAAGCTGTGGTATATTTTAGTAGTGGGAAAAACTAGGCATGGCTGACAATAAGTTTTAATTATAACCTCACTTAGGTTCTTGTTCATTATACTTTATTTCACATCATAGTCTCTGTTATAGTTGCTACTAAATGAAACAAATTAAACAATTTCATTTATTGCAAGTAGAATTCCTGTGGAGCTGTGAAGTGCATCAGTTCTAATGCTTGTTACTTTTTTCTCTATTATATGTCTTGCTTGTTCTTTTACTAGTCTGTGCATTCATGTTTCAGTAGATGGCACCCTGCATTGTACATTTGCTTTCTATACTACAGCAAGGGAAACAGCTGGTATGTGATTACAACTTGATGGAAAAGTATTCAGCTTAAAAAATTCAGGAGAATTAGTGTTGAGTTGTCACAAGACATGGGGCATAAGGTTAGATAATTGATATTTTAGCAGAAAAAGCAAAGAAATTAGTTTGTTTTGAAGACCATGTTACAGTTTAGGATGGAAAGAATATTTCTTAAAGTGAGTTTTTTAAAAAACATTTTAAGCTATTTTATTTGTATTAATAAAGCTAGTATTATACAAGCTAGTATAAGTACAAAATTCCTGAGTTGGGCCAGGTACGGTGGTTCATGCCTATAATCCCAGCACTTTGGGAGGCTGAGGCAGGAGGATTGACTGAGCCTAGGAATTTGAGACCAGCCTGGGCAACACAGTGAGAACTTGTCTCTACAAATACGTATAGATATATAGATATTTGTAGCTGGTTGTGGTGGCATGCGCCTATTGTCTCCAGCTACTTGGGAAGCTGAGGTGGGAGGATTGCTTGAGCTAGGTAGTTCGAGGTTGCAGTGAGCTGTGATGGTGCCACCACACTTCAGCCTGGGTGACAGAGCAAGACCCTGTCTCAAAATAATAATAATAATAATAATAATAATAATTTTTTTAATCCTGAGTTGTTTGTAGATAGTAACAAAGAGAAGTGAAATTTTTGGCTGCATATTTAAAAATTTTACTTTATATCAATCATTACTACTAAACATCTATTTTATATATTCAGCTATCATAACCAAGACTAAAGTGTATCAGATTATTATTGTTCTATGTGATTTTCTTTTTTACTTTGCTGAGTCAGTGAGTGGGATCCCAACTAAATTCTATGAAGAGATCAAATCTGAACTAAAAGTTCTTAATAGAGAAAAATGAATATGGACTTAATAGGTAAATTGGGAGCAGAAGATTGGCTTACCAAATTTAGAAGCTAAATTGCTTCTGATTTAATTTCTTGCTATTTTATATAAATAAGGACTATCTTTAATAATCTTTTATTTCTGGCCATATCAATTTCCCATTACAGTGATTTGTACTTTTTTGTTTAAAACTGAAAACATTAAAATTAGACTCAAGTTAACTCTAACTAGATTTTTGCTTGTATGCTCACAGTTTTTACTACTTTTACCAAAGAAGTTTTTCCAAAGAAAGTTATTTTACCTTAAATTTTATAACATTTGTTTTAAATATTACTATTTTTGTAATAAAATTGACATTTCTTATGAAAGGAATTGAGTCAGCATTATTATAAGTCCTCCATACTGATATTTGAATGTATCTGGGTGCCTAGACAGACATTGTATATTTATACCAATTGTACACAGCTGTCCAGTAAACTGTTTATAAGAAGACAGTGATGTCGTGAAACCCAAATGCTTCAATCGGTAATATACTGTTTATGTAAATGATTGGTTAACCAGAATGAAAGAAGTTAGGGGAAATAACAGTAACACTTGTCAGGTGCTAGACTAGGCTGTGTGACTTTAAAAACATATTAGTAATAGGAGGATAAGGGGTCTTTTTAAATTTGACTTTATGAGGTGATTAAAATACCAGAATTTAGCTGTGTCAGAGTAATTTACCTGTGTCCACATAAGAAAGAAATTTTAAAAAATAATTTGTTTTACACAATTCAGGGAAATATTTTCCAGTTAACAAACATCTATTGTGTAGCTATTATTAAGCCAAATGCTATTTCTTGTCCTTCTAGAAGTTTAAAAAAAAAAAAGAATAAATGCAGTTATGAAAGGGTATTTATGTGCTGGTTATAGTGGAGGTGGTTCTATTAGATTATGACTTGCCATAATTCTTTAACCAGGCAACTATTGACAAGTTTCACTTTATTCAGCCACAAGAATGAGTAAGGGCAAACTACCTATTATATAACAGAAGCAAAGTAAGAAGTCAAAACACTGCATGTGTTAGATTTTGTTGAATGATTAAGTATTTGCATTTTTAAAAACAAATAAAAGATAACTGATCAGTGAAATTTGTTCAGTAGTTTAAAAGGAAAATTTTCTTTTTAAAAATCAAAATAATGCTGATTCATGTATGATGTATTCACTGTATCTGCTTATAAACAATAGTGAAATTGATTTTGAGTAAGACGCAATGCACACACACATCATGTCTTGTGTACTGTGTAATTAATAAAGCCCCTATAAGTTAAGGTTTTTATTGTAAAAAATAAAAGACAGAATTTAATTTAAAAGACCAGAGTATTAACTATTGTTCCAAAACTACTCACGTTGTGATCATTGGGTATTAAAAATTGCATGCTAAAGCTGCAATCTTTTTAAATATGATAAAATGCATAAGTGTGTGTCCCAAGTGGCTTTTAATCAAAGTTTAGTTGTCCCTTTTATGAAACCAAGAATTGAGTCATGTCCTCATGCTAACTTCATGGAAAAGTAATTTGCTTTTATATTAGGGAATTAAATATATATGCTCATACATAACTCATTCAAAAATTCAAATTTGAAGTCCAGTGCTATTTGAATTTAAACATAAGTAACAGATATTTTTGTTTGTTTCCTGCAGCCCATTTGGAAGCCCTTTCCTAATCAAAACAGTGACTCGGTGGTACTAAGTGGCACAGACTCAGAACTGCATATACCTCGAGTATGTGAATTCTGTCAAGCAGTTTTCCCACCATCCATTACATCCAGAGGGGATTTCCTTCGGCATCTTAATTCACACTTCAATGGAGAGACTTAAGACACATTTGAAAACAGACATACCAAGTTCTATGTGATGATTTGGGGTTTGTAATACTATAAATACTTGATTGTAAACTAAATTCAAGATCATTTATAGGAAAATCTAGTTTCACAGCTATTTGAATTGTTTTCTAGATTTACTGTATAACTCTTTCATTTTTTTAAAAGATCATTCTATTCTTTCAAGGAGAAATAAGCCTAAAAGAAGAAAAACAAAAAAAAAACTGCATAAAACTGCAATCCTTTGTATTCATGTTTACAGTGCTATTACTATAATTCAAAATTACATATGTGACTTAGTTATATAATCATAATTTATGTTTATTTCAAATATCTAAGTTTATTGCTTGGATTTCTAGTGAGAGCTGTTGAATTTGGTGATGTCAAATGTTTCTAGGGTTTTCTTTGTTTTTATTGAAAAATTTATTTATGCTATAGGTGATATTCTTTAAATAAACCTATAATAGAAAATAGCAGACAACATAAACATCTTTGTAAATATCAAACCTAATACATTTCTTGTCCAGTGATAAAACAACTGGTAGAATTATTTAAACACTTAAGATTTTTAAAATAATATACATGGCTTTAATTTTACTATGTGTATAGCTACATGATGAAATTAAATATTAAGAGGTACTTATGTTGTGATCAGTAGTGTGTCCTTTGTTCTTGATATTAAAAAAAAAAGGAAGGAATCACATTTTTAGGGAAGTTTATAAAATTCTTGTTTTCTTTTCAGTAACCTAGTAGAAAGGTGATGACCAGATTTGGTGGCATTTATTGACAATTAGTGAATCACTTTGAATTTTAGAATTATTTTTCAAACTCAACTTTCTAAAGAAACATTTGTTTTTAATGGGAGCAAATATAAAACCCTACAAGGACTATCCATATTTGTTAACTTAGATTAGAAATGTTCATATTCTTGTTGAGAAATTTGTTATTCATTGTTAGCAGCCTGATTGATAGCCACTGAAAGACATTTGAGAGAGTGGATACCAAATTCAGAAGGCTGCAAAATTTGTTTAAAATGAGACTTCCCTTTCATTTTTATTCCCTATGATTCTCACCTTTTAGGTGTCTCTTTTCCCCTGATTCTTAAAAGTGTTTAAGGCATGGCTTCCATTTTATGAAGTAAGCATTGATTTGCAACCCTCAAAAATTTAAGCCTTCTTGAAGCAAGTGCTTTAAACTGGAGGGTGTGGGGTGGGGGAATTTGAGCAGACCTCTGTGCCCCAGTGAAGAACCTTAACTTGTGGAAGAATGAGAGTGGTGCCTCGACTTCTCCCAGTGCCAAGCACATCATATTGACATCTTCCTCACCAAGGTGACAGCAATTATTAGGTATTCACTGCGAAGGGTTCTGAGGCATGTACATCTTTCTTTCATTGCCACTAGGGCTGAATGGAAATGCCTAGACAATTATCCAAGTTTCTTCCCTTCCCCCACCTCCCGCCCACCCAGCCTCCCCTCTCCACACACGCACGCACACACACACGCACACGCACACAAAATTAAAAATAAAAACTTCCCAGCGTGTACCAGCCAGAAGATACCACTGTACCTATCTCGTGAAAGGGGATCCTTTTTTTCCCCTGTCCTTTTCTAGATGGGAAGACTTCCTCTCAACACAGTTGACATCTACTAAGTGCTTGCTGACAACCACAGGAAAGTCTATGGCCCAGAAAGTGACTCAGAGTGTACTACTGACCTTCCTCCCCAGCCCATCCTTTTCCCGCCCCCACCACTTTTAGCAGGACTAGCAAACTCGGTTTTCTTTTGCGTTCCAGCGGCACCCTAAGCTCCACGTTGTGAGGGACAGAGACCCTTTGGGGCCACAGGAGAGGCGGCCTGGAGAGCAGCCCCCGCCCTGCTCTACATAGGAAGCGCGGGCCACCGCTCTAAAGGTGGAGTGGGCACCCGCCAGGTCTCTCCCTCTGTCTCTTGACTGAGTCGTGCAGGGGCTGCTGGCTTTTGGCATCTGCTAAGCGTGGCCGGGTAAGAACAGCTCCCAGGTAAAAAAGCTGCACACGCGAAACGCCGAGTCTGAAAAAACCACCCCCGCCGAGGCGAGGCAGTTGTGAGCGGGATGCCTGAGAAGTGGGAGGTGAATGTCCTCGGGAGGGCCCCCCCGGTGCAGCTTTCCCCGGAGGCTGAGGCTGCTGCCAGCGGGGACATCTGCTTTCTTACACTCCAGCCTGGCTCACCCCGCCCCCTCAGCCCCGGGTTGCGTGGTTATTTTACCAACACGGAGGGAGGGAGAGCTCGAGGAGGTAGAAAAGGGGTGGATGGAAGCTTATAAGATTTTCTTCCCACTCTTCGTCCCCTCCTTTCTTCACATCTTTTAACCTTCAAGGTAAAGAGTTTAGGAAACAATAAGCGTGTCCGCCGGCTCGCCGACCCGCCTTTGGCTCGCCGGGGCTCTCCGGCGCGGGGCCTTGCCCCTCTCCATCCTCCCTACATCGGGCCGCGTTTCGGCGGTTCGGCTGGGCGCAGGGGCCGGCCGGGTGCGCCCAGCCTGTGGCGCCTCCTCTCCCCGGCTGCTGCCTCGACAGCTGCTTGTAGCTACAGTAATTAGACTGTCAGTGCTTGTTAGAGGAGAGAGGGGAAAACACGCTTCTGACAGCAGATTCCAAGACTCCCCAGTTTGTTAATTTCTAAGAGATCTTTAAAGCATTAATTGAGGTCTCCCCAACTCTCCCCTCCCGTCCCTCTCCGCAACTCCTCCCTTCCCAAAAATATCTTTAGGAGAAGCGAGTTCTCTCGGCGTGGAAGCAGTGTTTCCCGCAAAACTGCCAGCCCGCCCCCCGCTCACGCACAGGCGCACCCAATTTCCCATATACAGATAAATGCACACATGTATACGGGGAAGGTTAACTCGGCGGAGGACTCGCCCAAATAGGCACCGGGATTGCATTTAAAATAATAAATAAATAAATAAATAAATAAATAAATAAATAAATAAACTAGGAAGGAAAGCGGGGGGAGGGAAGCAGAAGTCGGGAAGAAAAGAGAAAAGCAGCAGGCTGATTACGAGGTGTCAAAACTGCCAGGAGCAAGAAGGTGATAGCAATCAGGGGTGAGAAGAGTGCGGCATTCGTGCGGGGCAACTAATTATCCGTCTCATTTGAGAAGAGCAGCATTTGAGGCAGCAGCGTTCGCCTGCTGAACGGTGACAGATTGGCGCGGAGGAGAGGGGAGGTGTTAAAACAATGGAGCCGGGCGCGCGAGCGCTGCTGCATGCTAATCAGCCCTCCCTCCGCCTGCCTGCCGCGCTCCCTCCTTCCTCCCGGCTTCCCTCCTCCGCGCTCCCTCCTCCCGCCTGCGGCGCTCCCTCCTTTCCAGCGGGCCCCGCGCCGCCGCCGCCACCCGCTTCCTGCTCCCTCGCTTTCCCGCGCGTCCTTCCCGCCGCTGGCGAGTGGAACACAGCCACCGCTAGTGAGTCCCTAGCGGGCCGGGAGCCCCCGCGCGGCCCTCCGAGCCGGCCCGGCGGAGCGCGGCCCCGCGCGGGTTCGCCTGAGGGCTCGGTCGGCGCCGCGCGCCCACTCCCCGGGGCGGTGGGGCGAGGACCCGCCATCCAGGATCCACGTCTTGGGGAACAGGCCGAAGAGCCCCGTTCTCACGCCCACTCGCTTTCTGGTGAATCTAACGCGTCGGCCAGCGAGTGCGAGTGGGAGTCCAGGCGAATTCAGAAAGGGCTAGGGACAGCCAAGGCTGGAAAGAGTGGCAGGGCCACAAAGGCCAAGAAGGGTTCCAGGACTGACCGCAGATCCCCTGCCCTGCCCCGCCCCAGCGAGGCCGCCACCCCGAGGCCTCCAGGCGCCCCCAACCCGCCCTGCAGCGGCCGCGCCCTGCTGGCCTGCGGCGAGTCGGCGAGGTCAGCACCCCCCTGCAACGCTTCCCGCGCTGCGGCCCTTAGACCCCTGAAGCCCCTCTTTCAGTAGAGCGACCGGTCCACGGTTTAAATGATCGCTGCGAAGACACATAAAGGGCCTTAACATTAGCTGTGCTTCCAAGGCCTGACCTCCTGACCCCAAGACTTTACTAAGGGGCCGTCTGCGCCTCGAGAGTTCCCTCGAAAGGCCGTGGCGGGGACAGAAGGTCCTGGAAAGAAGCGGGCCGCGCTCCCCACTGCTGCGGAGACTGCGGGGGTAGATGGGGCCAGGAGCAGATCCAGAGGCCCAGCTCCCCGCCTGGCCGCTCTGTTCTATACTCTGGCCTGAGAGAAGCTGGTCAAAAACAGCAGTGCCCTGGCCGCCCCTCCGACAAAGAGTCCATCGGAACCCGAGTCTGCTGAAAGAAGCCTTTGGAACCTGTTGATGCAGGCGGGGACCTGAGATTTGATACAACCTCCCGTTACTTTTTGACCGTAAAAGCTGATTGTTGCGCTTAAAGGACACTTTTATTCCTACCATTAAAATATTTTTACTGTTACGGTTTACATAAACTATCCTTATAAACATCATAAAACTTCCTTTCCCGTAAGCCGTGGATGGACCGCCAGAGTAACCAAATACCTGTTCAGTGTAATTGTTTCTTCTACTGACCCTTACCTTTGCATAACTTTACACACCATTAGTCCTTTTTAAAAAATCAATTTAAAATAAGGTTTGCTAAAGCTCAGTCATATATACACAAAGGTTTCATTTATATTATTCTGCTTTGTAATATGATAAAAGTACACAAAAATGAAATTAAAATGAGTAAATTTTGGTATTTTTATACCATCCTCATTGATTCTAGTCATGTGAAAAACTATACAAGTGCCCAGAATGAATCATTTTTCCTTTTAGAATATGCCCAGGCATACCAATAGAGTAGCTGAATGCAAACTTCAGATCTACTAAAATCATACAAAATGTTTTAAAGTTTTTAAGTTGAAAAATCTTAGAAGAGTTACATAAAGGATTTTGTGTAAGTAAATGTTAATGTTTTCTGCTTTCCACTCTTCGGAAAACTACTAAGCAGGCCTCTGCCCTTGGTGTATTACAGACTTTCCGGTGCTGCAGTATTAGCTGGCATTTGGAAAATTCCCTTGTGACTGAATCTGTTAAAATAGCAACCTATCTAACAGCAAAACAAATTTTAACTTTATATTTATTCATGTAAACGTGGAGATTCAGATGTTCCATCAGCATCAAAATTAAGCAATTTATTAACTATTCACCAGCCTTTGCTTCATTAACCAATTCTATAGAAGTAATGTCTCTCTAAAGCTGTGAATCTATAGAGCTCAAATAAATGTAGTTCAATTCCATGTCGTTATGTATCTCACCAAATTATTTATTTTCCAATAACTTGGTTTTTATAGGCTTAGTGTAATTTCCTCTCAATCTACAGACCTCACAAATTTGCATGACTGTTTTAACGGTGTATTTACAGATAAGTTTTTATTTGCACATAAGGACAAAAAGGTGAAGTGAAATTTGGTCCCAATGGAAACCTGTTAGGTTCCCTGAACATATGGCTCATTGGGCTGTTACTTCCTTTTTGAGATCATTTTCCAAGATTTTTTAATATATACATCAATTTGACACCAGTTATAAAGAAAATATATTGGCTTTGAAGATTCCTCCACCTGGGGCATATCTCTTAGTAACACACCATGTAGTCAGGTGTACCTCTGAATGTACAGGTTTC